AATCAACAGGGTAAAGAGGCAACCTACAGAAAGAGAAAATATTTGCAAACTATTCATCTAACAAGGGTTTAATATCCAGAATATAAAAGAAATTCAAACATCTCAACAGCAAATAAACAATCTGATTAAAAAATGGGCAAATAATCTGAACAGATATTTCTCCAAAGAAGACATACAAATGGCTGAAAAATATTTTTAAAGTTTAATAATACTAATCATCAGGGAAATGCAAATAAAAACTATAATGAAATATCATGTCACTCCAATTAGAATGGCTATGATCAAAAAAGAAAAAAATAGCAAATGCTGTTAAGGATGTAGAAGAAAGAGAATTTATGCACACTTAGTGGGAATGTAAACTAGAACAGTCAACTACAACCATAGTTATAGTTGTACTAATGATACTTATAAACATACAGTAAACTAATATTGAGAACAGTATGGATGTGTCTCAGAAAACTACAAATAGAACTACCATGTCATCCAGCAATCCTACTACTGGGCATTTATACAAAGGAAAAGCCATCAGGATTTCAAAGAGATATCTCCATCCCCATGTTTATTGCAGTACTATTCACAGCAGTCAAGATATAGAATCAACCCAAGTGTCCAATAACAGATGAATGGTTTAAAATTATGGTGTATATACACAATGGAATACTATTCAGCCATTAAATGAATGAAATCCTGCCATTCACAGTAACAAGAATGAAACTAGAGGATATTATGTTATACAAAATAAGCCAGGAACAGAAAGTTAGCTGCCACATGTTCTTACTCATATGTGGAATCTTTAAAATGTTCATCTTATAGAAGTAATAAATAAAATAGAAGATACGAGCAGCTAGGAAGTTGATAAGGGAAGAAAGGGAGAGATGTGGACACAAAGGACACAAAACTATCACTAGATAAAAGAAATAAGTCCCACTGTTTCGAAGAAAAAAAATAAAGAAGGAAGGAACATCTAACATCAGAAGCAATTTCAGACAAAAGAAACTTCCTCTGAAAGGAATAGCTGAGTGAGGCCGATGAAAACTGACTGAAAATTTGAGTATAAGTTTTACATACTCTTAAATAAAGTGGGAATTACATCCATTGAGAAGCTGTTATTGTCACTTCATAACTCATAAAATGGTTTTTGCTAGTGAGTAGACACATTATGTAGCACTTCAAACCCATACAATTCTCCTGGTGATAAAAACACTTTCTGTAATGATGACAATTACAAAAAGAAATGATATTGAATGGCATCTAATCATTCCTTCTTCAATCAACATATATTTATGGAGCAGTAAAAATGACTCAGTCACCGACCTTGGGAGCTTATAGACCAGTAGGGGAAGAAGGTGTTAAACAAAGAATTACACAAATAAGCATTTAATTGAAATACTAGTGAGTGTTATAAGAGTATATAATAGAGTAATTTTACCTCACCTGAGAGCAAAAAGGGAGAGGGGATAAAGTTATCTTGGAGAAAGCGTTAGTTCAGCTGAAATAGGCTTAGGCAGAATTTTATGATTCTTAAGCTACTAAGTAGATATCTCATACACGGAATAAGCACCTAAGCTTGGGCACAATACAGGCAAATAAGGAAAACATTTTGCTGCTCTCTGAGATAAATTCACGAGATGAGGCTCTCTTAAGGACCTGGCTATGATAATAGCATGCCCCTCTCCCTAAGTGACACAGTGCTGGAGATACCCAGGGAAGAGAAAACAAATGTTGTTGACAGACACTCATTTAACCTGCCAGATAGTCATCTAAAATTAACTTTGACTCTAGACTTTTATCTTCTGAGATCACAAATGGAGGAAAATGAAAAACTAAATGTTATTTATCACATCCTGAAATTAATTGAGTTTGTCTCCCAGAAGGAAGGCTGTAGTCTAACCTAACCAGCATTTCATAAGTTGACTTTCACTTAAGCAAAACACACATATGACACACATATGTAGATGCTATTTAACCAACTAAACAACAGGCTTTTCAGAAAATGGGGTGGCTAACGAGCAGTATCCAGCTTTAATCGTGTATTTCCAATATTTATTTGGCTTATATATCTTTGTCTCTGTTTTTCATTCTATTTGTGCACATAAACAAGAGCTCAGTAGTATTTTAGGAGATGAGGAAACTGTGGTGATAGCACAGGTACATAAAAAACAATGCCATCTTATTTGGATCTTAAAGAGATAAACCAGCTATTTAAATAGTCTGAAAACAAATGGCAGTCAACGCCATGCTAAACTATCATATATGTAGAATTTTCCAAACCCAAAACAAACACCTTGACTATAGGAGAAGTAGAGAGGAGTCTAAGTGGACCAGCTCTGTAGTCAGAGATCCCGACATTGTCATTTACTTGTGACCGTGGTCAAGTTTCTTAATCTTTCTGAGCCTCGATTTACTTACTTATAAAATGTATCTACCCTGTAAAAAATTAGAGGAGTTACCACATGTAAAGCACTTAGGAAGACTACTCAATAAACTTAAGATTTATCGTTATTTTTAAGGGATTTGGGTTTTCCTTTCTACTCCACTGTAATGACTTCATTAACTTTTGTTTTAAGGGCTAGAAAAGTACATGGGATAGCAAGCCTAGAACCTTCACAATGGTGACCACTGGCAAGAATTTTCAACATACATATATCTTCTGACTGATTATAGCCTCCTTTGGTAATCTTGAGCACTTATATGGCTTTTGTTACCAAATATATTTTGATAACTTTCAATCTACAAGTTTTTTTCTCCATGAACTTCTTGTGTATCTATAACTGCTTACTGGATGCCTCCCAACACCTCAAACTCAACTGATCCGAAGCAGAATTTATTATCACACTTGTAGACCTCCAATTTTTCATACCTATGTTAGTCTCAAATGTGTAGTGAGGACCAGGGTTGATTCAGTTGACTAACTGGCCAGGCTGATAGTTATGTCCTCAAACATCTGTTACAAATTTTAAAGGATGACTTTACAAAATAGAGAAGAGCCAGTCTTCAGTCAAAAATAAATGAAAAGCTATATTTTCCTTCTAAAATATAGAGTAGGCAGCTAGTTCAAGGATTCTTTATTTTAAATCATTTCAACAACCACCTAGACGTTGAAGCCAGGAATCTAAGAGTTATCCCAGATTTCTTCTCTTCTTTCATTATGTCATTACTCTCAGCATTTTTATAATAAATAATATTTTTTTGTTGTTTTTGTTTTACTTTCAAATATGGGGTCTTGCAATGTTGCCCAGGCTGAGCATATAGTGCAGTAGCTATTCACAGGTGCGAGCATAACACAGCACAGCCTCGGTCTCCTGGGTCAAGTGTTCCTCCCACATCAGCCTCGCAGGTAGCTGAGACTACAGGTGCACCTCATTGCCCCCAGCTATGTTTTTATTTATTTTTTTTTATAAAACTTCAAATCCATGTTGAGTTTCCCTTCTTAGCTTCAGGTGTTCTTTACTTCCCACCTGGAATAGCTCAACTGCTTCCAAGCCTAACTTCTGACCTTTGGCTTGGCTAAAATCCCTCCCCAACACTGTGGTTTGGTGACCTATCTGGAATGCAAATCTGATCAAGTTTCTACTCTCATTTCCCATTGCTCCCCATGGTCTACAGTGTGACCCTGTTCTTACCACTCAGCTTCCCTAGATCCTCTTTTGACTCACGGTTTCAATGATACTGAATGATTTTCTGTCTTTTCTCTTTCAGGTCACATCATTTGGTGACTTTGTAATTTTGTTTATGCCTAAAACAATCTTCTCACCGTAACTCCTATTCATCCTTCAAAAAAAGTCTCAGGTAGCATCTCTCCAGGAAGCCATCCCTGATGCATTTGAGCTGATCTATGTCATAGCTTCCTGGGAGCTATCCTAGGGATCCCTGCTGCACACCTTATCCAGTTATTTACTGTACTGCATTGAGAACGCATACCACCTCCGGCTAACTAGGTTGTAAATGTCTCAAAGGTAGAGCTTTTCTGTCTTACACTATACTTGAATCATCTGCAATAAATATTTAGTGAATTAGGTTGGGGCTCAACACTAGCTGCATATGGGAAACATCTAGGGATCTTTCAAAATTGTAAATACCAACAACTCACTCTATTCCCTTGAAATGAGAAGCTCTGGGAGGGGAGTCTAGGAGCTTAAGCATCTGAAACTGTTCAAGTGGTGATAAGGTGTAACTGAGACTGGGAGTTCATTGCTTAGATGATCACTGGGCAAGGATGTGGTGGATAATATGCCAGAGACATATGAAGGTGTTAATGCTTAATGTACCTTTCATTCATGAATTTCTCTTCTATGAGATGATTGCTGGTAATGTTCCCCTCCCCCCATACACATATCATAAAGGTTGTTTTGTTTGGCAAGCAGGCAACTTAGTTCATCAGCCAGGCACCAAACTGTGAGCCATCTCATAATCTTAGTGTTCTTGAAAGAGCATCCACCACCAATACACACCCATTTGTTTAAAATACAGTACTGTAAAAAAATTACTAACAAAGGGAGGCAAAGAAGGAGTGGGTTTTAGGTGACTCATATATTCATGTCTTGATATTAGGAAAAACAGTCGCAAATGCAAATACTTCCTGGTTCTCTTAAAATGTTACTTTGTAACATTCAAACCTTTTTTGTCTCTTTGTCTATGATGGTCATAGTGATGGGCAGTGAGTTTGTTTCTTTTATAATATCTAGGTCCACTGTAACAGTGAGGTAGTGCCTTATTTTGATTCTAGATGACTTATAATTAACAGCGCTTGGTATAAGTTCTACATTGGAGAAGTAAGGCCAGTTTGGGATTATTATTATAAACATTCATGTTTGTAGGAGGAATATGTGACTCTAGATTATAATTTTTCCATGAAGAGTGTTTTCTAATAAAAAAATACATTTTAAAAAATCACCATAAAGACAGTAAAAAGACAGAGAAAAGCCTTTTTAAATGATCAACCGTTAGGAGAAAAATACACTGGAGTCTTGGAATATCATAACTAATATTCAAACTTTAAATCTGTTTGATTAAAAAAGTTTAATGAGCTGTAAAATAAATACACTTCCATTAAATATTAAATAAATTATTTACAACTTGAAAAAATACTTTTTGCCTTCGTGCACCTTTATATACAGAAATAGTATAAAAAGTGACAATTGCAAGTTTAAAACCATTGTAACAAAAAGATTCCACTGTCTTATGATCCACTGGAAAGAGGACCAACTCATCATCTATGGTCATGACTTGGCAGTGACTCCAATGTGATATCCTGTGAGAAAATAAAACAAAATGTTACAGATAAGCTCAATTCCAGCAAAGCTTTAAGAAACTTTAAAGCATAATCAGGAATCAGAATTTCTGTCATTTGTTTTCTATTACATAGTATGAGAAATGCTAAGATTTTCAGAGACCAACTCTTATTTTGGCTTGAGTTCCTCCTTCACACCTGCTTTGATTATACGCCTACTTTAGTAGAAGTCTGCATATGCTCAAACCTGTTGCATCAAATTCAGCTTAACAAACAAGCAATAGTCTTCCTAACCAGATCTATGCAGTGGACATAATTAAAATCAAAGATTAAATGTCTCCGTGTATTTACGATATACAGTTAATTTAGGATAATTAGTACCAAGGGCATAATAATAGTAACTACCAGTTAGTAGGCAGCCACTATGTGTTAGCACAGTATATTCTTTTTCCTTTTTTTACTAAAATAATTCTGGGATCTATGCTGAAAAATCTCAGTGGCATTAAAATAACCAAAAATCCATCCTTATTCATGTTGCTGGTCTTAGCTTAACTACATGAAGCCAAAACATTAAAAATGTTGATGCAGTAAATACTGAGTACAGCATTGGTCTAAATAATTATCTGTTTTATGAGTTATTGAGCTGAATCTGTAATAGACTAAGAACAAAATATCTATACTTCACCAATGCTAAATATAGCATTGTTCTAGCATCAGAACCATCTGAAGTGTACATTGAAAACAGAAATTTCAGTTCAGTACATTGAGGACTGGGCTTAGGGATATGCATATTCAACAAGCATCTCAAGTAACTTTTTTTTTTTTTTTGAGGCAGAGTTTTGCTCTTGTTATCCAGGCTGGAGTGCAATGGCATAATCTTGGCTCACTGCAACCTCCACCTCCTGGGTTCAAGTGAGTCTCCTGCTTCAGTCTCTTGAGTAGCTGATATTACAGGTGCCCACCACCACGCCAAGCCAATTTTTTGTATTTTTAGTAGAGATGGGGTTTCACCATGTTGACCAGGCTGGTCTCGAACTCCTGACTTTAGGTGATCCACCTACCTGGGCCTCCCAAAGTACTGGAATTACAGGCATCAGCCACCATGCCCGGCCCTCAAGTAGCTCTTAAACTCACTGAAGTTAGACAATCAACAACTGAAATGACATCATCTATCTTGAATGTCTAAGGAAATAAAGTTCCTTCTTCTGCCAAACTTTAAGTGTGGTCTTCATTTCCTTACCTCCTTCTTCCTCTGGGAGTTTTCTCCCTTAGCTGCTCCGTTTATTATCAAGGAAATATCACTCTTCACACCTTCTTACCTTATACCTACAACATACTCAGCTCTCTATCATTGCAAGAAAAAGTATATATTCTCACCAACCTATTTATCAAATTTGCATCCCCTCCCTTTCTACCTCTTTTTGTAAACAAGAGTATTCAGCTTATTGTCTGTCTCCATGCCCTCACAGTTTTAGTGCAGGCACCCCCAACTGTGCCTCTCCACCATGTGAGCTCAACCTATCATCATGACTGTATCTCCCCTAACACTCATTTAGATCAAGCCATTTTTCACAAGTTTCTAAAATGATCTATTCCATTTCTTAATATAATCATTCCTTTCCCTTCACAGTTTCTTGTACCAATCTCACTAGCCCCTTAAGGTTCACTTCCAAGGCTACCCTGAACATCTTTTCCTCCTCCCTAAATAAATTCCATTGGATTCTTTGTTTTCACTGGAAACTTCTCATACTCCATTGGTTTCTTTCTCATGACATTTATTTAGCTTTCCGGGTATTCTGGTCTCTTACATTTTTTTCCTATGTACTAAACAAAAAGTTCTTTGAGAATAGGATCAGTGTCTCTCATATTTATATCTCTACTAATACTGATTGAACACAGAGTCCATTCTCAATATTGAATTCTATCTCATACTCAAAGAACAATAATGTAGCCATTGTTCATAGTGTATACATAATTTAAAACACATTCCTTATTTTTCTTGAGGGGATATAGTGTTAAATTTTTGATATGATCTAAAGATATATTTTAGAACTCAAACCTGTGACTTTATCTTCAGTTATGCTATGGCATGTACATTTCCATTTTCTTGCCGAAGTTTCTTTCTTTCCTCAGCTTCTCCTTCATATTTTCTTAAGTATCGTTTTCCAAACCTTCAGAGAAGAAAATATTCTAATGTTATCAAAATTCTATTCATCTATATATTTGATTGGTGTTTTTATGAGTACAGGGAGTTCCACTTCACGAGTAGTTATAGACCAGTAATAACTATACTTGATACTAAACCTAAACCTGGCTATAAAATATTACCGATTTCTAAGGGGGTGTTTATGTGATTTTTTATTAACACATTTCCAGAGGGCTTATATTTAAATAAGTGTGTCTTCATATATCAATTCTGAGGTGTAAAACACATCCGTATGTCTTGTTTTTGCAGAACTTAGCACAGCTGCGATGCACAATAGGAGAAGATGATGATATAGTTTTGCCATAGGAGGACTCTATGCTTGCACAGGTTAAATGATTAAATATTTTTAAAACAGGCTTACAAAACAAGTTGAGCTTTATTATTTCTAAGTACAAAATATATCCTTCTAGTTTAATTTACTGCTACTTTCCACCTGAAAAACTCAATAGTTTAAAAGCTTCTTGTTGTTGTATAAACAACCCTGTTGTTAGGAGGTCTTTAACCCACCTACTAAACATTATCATTAAAATCATAAAAAAATTTCTTTTGTTGTGATATTTAGGGGAAAATTCACCTCAATTATGAAATCAAACCCAGCAACTTTTGCTTAGGTTTAGTGTTTATGTTTCAAACATAAGGAGAATACAGGAGAAATGGGAAAAAAAAATGCCACTGCTTAATTTTAATAGTGCTAACATAACAAAATGTATCCATTACTTTCCAAAGAAGTATTAAATATTTCAAGTCGAATAATTACAAGTTTAATTATTACAAAACAGTGATTGTTTTATTCTATCCTTCGGAATAATAATGGTTCGTCTGAGAGTATCTCTCCTAAACACATTTCCATATCTGGCATGAGGTACTAAAAAAACAGGATAAATTCTAGGGTGTACAAAACAAATTTAAGCTACATATCAAACTTGATATTTCCAATAAAACAATTTTTATGTATCATTTTATCATAATCTGATCTAAATTTAAAATAATTGCAAACAATGGCAGAAGATAACCCCTTGTTTCCTGAATGACAGTAGTGGTAGATCAGGTACACAAATGGATAGCTGTTAAAGTAATTTACCAAGACCTAAAATTAGAAGAATGAGTCCCTTGCTTTTCCCAAGCTCTAGCAGCACATGAGTCATCACAGAGCCATTCATGTCCTCCCCCAACTTCCCTTATTCATAACTTCTGTTTGACAGACAATGCCATTTTGATGTACCCATCATTGCATACTACCTGGCACAGTCTACTCCTAACATTCATTGGTCATGAAGTGAAGTGTGTTGTCTATTATTATGAACACAGAAAGGATATGCTGGAGTGGAACAGTAATAGAATTGTCATTGCTTGCTATGCCATGTCATGTGATGAAAATTTACATTTTAATAATTGAGTTCCTATAAGCATAAGCTCTAAATAAATTAGCACCATGTGACAATATTCCTAACTCAGAATTCTGAATTCTAATATGAGCAGAAAGCATATCTATTCTTGGATGCTGATGATTAGTAGTTATTTGTCGTTTTTCGGTATTAAAGCAGTATATCTGATACTATGAATCTACTATAAACCAGGTTGTAATTGGCTTCTGAGGCTGGCTGAAGCATAAGACTTCACAGAAGATACAAATGTTCTCTGAGATTCTAGAGTAGCCATGAGTAGAAAAATGACGTGAACTAAAACCATCAATTTTTTAAGTTCAAAAAATGTCTAGATCTTCTGAAAAAGGGCTTTACATATTAAATTTCAATGGCAGCCACAGTCATAAATGTTGACCACTTTCTGTGGTGTTTATCAGTCAAATATAAAAATATAAACCAAAGATTATGTGACAATAGAATAATTCATCTAAAATACCAGAGTAGAGTATGAGAGAAATACTGAAAAACTTAGCCTACCATTACTGTATGAAGAATTTGTAAACTATGTCATACTTACTGGACTGTAATAACAGCAATAGCTGTGAGGATCATGGCAGATATAAAGGCAACTATGGCTGGTAATGCAATTTTAGATAAATTACTGTCAGTCATGCTGTGAGTTTTCATGGACTTCTCCCCACACCGTTCACCAAAGTAATCTTGCTGACAACTGCAAACAATCCACATTTTAAAATTATAATCACAAAAACATTCTGTGTATTTTAAGCTTACTTTTCAGATCATAAAGCACAATTTAATTCCAACATTAAAAAAGTTATGCCATATACTTGTATTTCAAATAATGAAACATAGAATGCATTCTAACTAAGAATCTATTAGTATAAGAACAAGTTGAGATTAGTTTGGGTGTGATATTCCAAGAAGACACACCTTGTCATTCTTTGTGTTTCTTTTATGACCAACTGATGAGTTCAGTGATTTGTTATGCAGTTGATACCTTCCGCTATTATTTAATCTGCTAGCAGCTTGTGGGAGGTGAGGGCGGAGGAGGTTAAAGCAACATGAAAGATTATGTAAAAATCACCTTTAGGTCATTTTTTAAAGGAGCTTTAAAACACATACACACACACACACACACACACACACACACACACACACACACACAGTGAGAGAGAGAGCGAGCCTGTAAGCAGGGGTTAACAAGCCATAGCCCATGGATCAAATCTGGCCATTTTCTGCTTTTTTGTTTTTTTAAACAGGCTGCAAGCTAAGAATAGTTTTTACATTTTTGTTTTGTTTTGAGAAGGGCCTTGCTCTGTCACCCAGGCTAGAGTGTAGTGGTGTGATCACGCAGTCTCAACTTCCTGGGCTCAAGCAATTCTCCCACCTCAGCCTCCAAGGTTGCTGGGACTACAGACTCCTACCATTGTACCCAGCTAAATTATTTTGTATTTTTGGTAGAGATGGGGTTTCACCATGTTGCCCAGTCTGGTCTCGAACTTCTGGGCTCAAGGGATCTGCCCACCTCAGCCCCACCAAGTGCTGGGAATACAGGAATGAACCACCGCACCCACCAATTTTTACATTTTTAAATAGTTATATTTTAATTGGTTATATAAGTACATATAACAATCTCAGCCCAGTAAGCCTATATTTACTATCTGGTGCTTTAGTAAAAAGTTTACTGACCTTTGGTTTATACACTGGAAAAATAAATGGTTTCCTACAGTTAGGGGTTTCAGACATAGTGCGAGAAATACAGAATTCTATGGACTTTAGGAAAACTTACTTGCATGTTACCACTTCCAGGTGTGCTATATATTTGCATTCTCCATGAATGCAGAAATTCTGGAATTTTGCATTACATGGATTTTTCTTCTTTCTGTTTCTTCTATTTTTTCCACTTTTGCCTCCTTTTTTCTTTCTTTTGGGTTTATCTGAAGTATTTTCACTTTCTGTCTTGTTTTTTGGGGGTTTAACTACCTGTTCAACTAAAAAAGAAAAGATTTATTGGCAAGAGTCTCTCAATCTTGAATATCATTTTAGAGACATGAGAGAAAGATGTCATAACAGTGAAAGCTCACAGGGATAACAGCTATGCTCGCCCCATTACCTAACGCAATGTAAGAGTTAGAGAGGATTGAGTAACACTAATTTATAATTTTTAGTTTTTTCTACCTGCAAATAGTGTCCACTCATGATTATAGCTGGGAAATAGTGAGTACTACTTGCAGGTGGAAAAACTGAGAATTATAACTCAGAGTTACTTTATGTCATAATGCTCCACCTCCCAGATTACAAGAGATTATAATCAATTGATATTTTCCATGGAGCTCATTTCTGTGGTCAATCTATTTGAAAACAGAAGCCCAGAAATATTTGTATTCAATGCTTCAGAGATTTATTTATGTCATCAGATCCACAGAAACTTTTGTTCAGTCTTGCAGTTATGCAAGGTATAGTTTACCTGCATGCTAAAGATACGAAAGGACTTTCCATGTTAGTGCTGTGCATTTTGTTGCACTAATGTCTGAAAAGGTTTATCTGAGTGAATATTTAGCAAACAGATCCCAGTGAAGAAAAAATACTGTTAGTCATAAAGATCATGCAGCAACCATTAAATGCAAAACAATAGAAACATAATGAAGGTCAACTAGGGTATCAAAGGTAGAATATCTGTAATTAAGGGAATGTTAAATAAATACTAAGTATTTTAGCAGATTATTATAATATTTAACAAAAGTAAAATTGGAGCAGATGTTTAAGAGGTGGTTATGTAATTTCTGTGTTGAAAATTTTCTGTGATGATAAAAAAAGCACAAGATAGAAAAGTCTTTTAAAAGAAATATTTTGAATGAACGTAACTTCACTTTATCAGATAGATTACAAACTATAGACAGAGACAAATAATAGTCACTATGCTGAAGTGTTGCAATAAACACTAACATCATAGACATTTAACTTAGCCTTTCAAAGGTGTTTAACCAACATTTTCACTCGATTTCACAATGCATTGCAATTTTGAACACTAGTCACTTGTCCTACTAATCATTTACTTGTCCTTCTAAAGTGTTAACAACTTGAAACATGCTTAAGGGAACAGTTTCTAAAGACTTTGATGGTCTAATCTTATGCCTTCAAAAATAAGCATAAATGAACCCCTTCCTGCCTCACAGAAAGACACACTTTCAGTCGGAAGGGAGAGAAGTGGAGTGTTCCCTAAATGTTTTTTCACCTCCCACTTACCCCAGTCACTGTCCCTGTGATACCACTTGATGTCCCTTCACCATTCCTGAGAACCAGAGAGAGGGGAAGGAGCCTCCAAGTCAGGACAGAAAAGTCTTTCAAGAGCTCTGAAACCATCTTTCCCTGCCTCTGTAGTGGACGCTCCTGGGATATTTAGATCTTATTAACGTTAACCTCTTCTTCCTTCAAATTCCAAAGTATGTAATATTTATGTCTTACTTCTTTACTTTCACTTCAAGCAAAGGACCTTTTTAAAATATGAAATAACGGGTAAGTGAAAGAAACCATAGGTCATGAATATTTAACCAACAAATAGGATTTGGGGTTGGTTAAATAGTGATTTTAGCAATACAAAATCTATGAATATTCACCCTTCTTTACTATTTCCAGATGGTATTATTATCATTATTCCATCAGTTTCCCCTCACCTACTACTTAAATGCTAAAGTCTAATGCCTCCTGTCCCATTACTTCCTCTGTTCCCTTATTTGTGTTAAAATGCAGTTTATCTAGGGAAGGAGGGTGTTAGGGAAAGGGATAAAAAAGCTAAGATACAAAGTAGATAGGTTAATGTCTAAATTTGTCTCTCAGAATGGGGGTCAAGCAGCATAGTGGGAAAGAGCTTAGTGTCTCTTCTGCATAGAATCAAACAAACTGGAGCTCTAATTCTAGCTCACCTGCTTGTTACCTGTGGAAACTAGCACAAAACAACCTTTTTGAGCTTCAGTTATCACATCTGTAAAATGAGGATAACAATTCCTAAAGTCATTGTGAAGATTAGGTTTAAAAATGAGACATAAACCATCTATGATCACTCTGGCCCTATAGGATGTGCCCACATTGTGGTTCTTTTTGTCTCAGTTTACCTAAGGAGTATGCAACTGATGCATGTACAATAAAGCTAGTAGAAAATTTGGGGAGGAGCTTTTCTTCTGAAGCAACTTTGTTCATTAAACCTACATCTCATAGGCTATATTTTTGCTTTATCCTCTACTCACCTCTGACTGAATCATCTACAATATAGCCAGGTATTTGTGGTTCATTATCATACTCTTCTGAATAGTCATAGTCAGTTCCCGACAACAGTTCACTACTAGAAGACATTTCACTCTCAGGTGAAATCTCACTTCTTGAAGACATCTTACTTCTTGAGGTAACCTCAAATCCATCAGCACTTTGGTCCCCAGGAAATGGTTCACTCTTCCCAGAGTAGGTGTCATTGAGGTCCAATCCAGCAGCATAATGGCCTGCAGGGGAGGGAATAAGGGAAGAAAAGAAAAAGTAAAGTAGAATGCCTTTCTCTCCAGTCAGCTGTGTTAGGTAGAAATGTTTATCTTTTGACACCAAAGCAGTGATTGCACATGTGCTATTGTTTTTGATTGAGTCACTTCTATGAAAGAAACTTTACATTTTTGCCAGCAAGCAAATTCAGCTGTCCCAATTACAGAGCTGCTTCTATGATATTTTTCTTTTCCACAGGTAATCCACATTAATTTCCACATCAAAAAATCCTGCCAAATTGGCAAATTAATCTAATACAATTACTTGATAGGTAATATCTAAAAATTCTCATCACTTCACATTCCAAATGCATTTTGTTTGCTAGAATGCCATCCTGGCCTATTTTCAATAGGTTCTAGATATAAATATCAAATTTTCTTAATATGTGTTCGTATTTTTAAAAGATCATGTACATAAAATGTAAAAAAAAATAAACAGTAATTATATCTATTATTGCCATTTTTCATTATTATTACTACATAGAGAATAAATTGAGTACTAAGTAAGATTTTGAGCCCAGAGTTAAGCCACTGCTTTATCTTGCATTTTCTTTTAGGGCTCAATAAAACAGCATCAGAGTGGAGTTTTAACCTCTCGCCGGGACACTACCTCTGGGAAAGTAAAGATGAAATCACTAGACGGAGGAGATGGAGAATTTGGCAGGAGGCAGCAAACGCTGCTGGGCCCAAGATCTGCGGAAATCACTTCACCTCTCTAGACCTTGATCTTTTTAACCGTGAAACCAAGGGTTCGGTTCCAATGACCTCTCTCGCCTCCTCGGCTGGGCTAGAGAAAAAGTACAGAGATTCTCTGGGACATCTTGTCCTGGACGTCTGAGACGTCTTCCCTTCTCTCTTCCTCCTAGGCAAGGTGCTATAGCGATCACCTCCCGCGGTGCAGATTTGGAGAAGTAAAAGCCTTACTCAAGAGGCAACAGCTTTTGCCTGCTGTGGGAGAAGAGCCCGCAGTTCAGCGCCGGGGGAGCCTCACCTGAGCCGAGGATCAAGAGCGACAGCACCACCGGCACCGGCGGCAGCAGCGGGGCTCTCATTGGTCCTTCGGGGCTGCGGCGTCTAAGTCTCTGGGGCAAGTCGGTCTCTGGGACCGGAGCTGCGGCCGAAAGGAGCGGGTGTGGGAAGAGGGAGTGAAGACCGGGACTGTGCACCGCGCTCCGAGGCTGCGGGAGTTCGGGGCTGCGGGCGCAGCGCCTCGGGCTCTCCCGGGGACTTCTGTGGCGCTGGCACCCCGGTGTGCGAACGGCCGTTGGGCGGCGCGCACCTGCCGCTTTATAATTCCCCTGCCTGTGACGTCAGGGCCGGGCCCTGGGTGGAAGCAGGCGGCGCCCCAGAAGGTGCTACCACTCGCGGAGGACACGCGCCCCGCCTCCCTCGTGCGTAGACAGTTCGCGGGGAGGGAGTGGATCTTAAACCTCTAGCTGCGAGGAGCAAAAGGGCCCATCCGTATTTGGGGGCGGGCAGGACTGGAGTTCGGGGCTAGTACCTGGCAGTTAAAAGTCCCGACATTTCAAACTGGCAAAGTACACTCTTCGTGTACTTTGGTTGATTTCAACATCTACAACAGACAGGGATTTAAATAAAAGAGTTCCGTATTCAGCTGTAAAAGTACTTTAAAGACCAAGAGTGACTTTGCAGTGATAGCCTCATGTTTCCAACAAGGATAAAAGACGAGAGAGACCTCTTAATGAGGAATTGCTTCATGTAGGATGGGCCTTTATCTCAATCAAGGTCCCCTTTCCACCCATTTCTGTGAAGTGGCCAGAATTTGAAATCCCCTAGTGAGGGATTTCTTTGTGTGGCCCAGGGCCCTCATCAACATTAATATTTATTGATGATTTATTATTGTCATACTATGCATTTAAAAGTTTACCTACACCATCCCACAGCCAGCAGTGTTTAAAGCCAGGGGGATTTGAATTCTTCATCTAATTCTGAAATCTGCTGTTTTCCACTTTGTTAAAGGAATGTAGGATTAAACTGATCTTTGAAAAGAGGGTTTCTGGGAAGAACAATACTTAGTCTAAAGGAATAATTTCTACTGGTGGCATACTGGCATTTGGGCGAAGGGTAGTGCTCAAGAGATTGTGCCTCTGAAATGCCAAGATGAAAATGTCAGCTAGTAGGATATTTAGTCATGGCAAGCAGAAAAAATGAAGAGGAGACAGGAAGCTGGTTAATTTGACTAACTTGGATGTACTGTCAACTAAAGAACTGGATTTTTCTTGACTTAAAGAAGAGGAAAGCATTGTTCTTTTTCTTTCACCTGGAGATATGTATCTCTTCCCTGACTGTTTCAGTAACACAGCCCTTTAAAGAATGTGGGTCACAGTGCATCTGTCCTAATTCTGGGAAAATTTTTAAAAGATCACTTACTTTTTAATGGTATGTCATAATGTGTAGTCAAAATAATATCATGCATTTAGTAGAATGAAATAGTCATGAATTATGCCTTCTATTCCACATTTGTCGAGAGTGTATTTTCTATTAGCCACCTGCTTTATTTTTTAATAAAGAGGAGCAGTGTAGGTTCACCAGGAGCTCAGTGGTATGTATCAGATACATAGGTAAGTAATTCTAACAGATCACATGATAAGAAGGGTTCAGCGTGCCATGGAAAACAAAGACATGGTTTAATTTTGCCTGTGTTTAATGGAAAGCTCCATGGAAAGATAAAGAGGCCCCTCGAAGGCCGTCCCAGCACATCTTTTAGATGGAAGAGAGACCTGATGTCAGGATATGATCAAGTAAGGACAATAAGGATAGAAAGGTGTCATGCCCATTTCAAAGTGAAGTAGGGGCCTGCACTGTCATCTGTTTTGGTGGATGAGACAATCGTGATTCAGAGATTGAGAGACTTGCCCACAGAGTTCAAAAGATTTTGCTAGAAATTTTGTTTGGAGTTCAGGCAGTTGGTCTTCACTATTGCACCTTTATGCTCTCATAGGCTTTGTTTCTGTTCTAGCCATATTTTTCTCATTTTTTCTTCTTTTTTATATTTTCCATTGTCAGGTAACTTTTTTCATATTTGTGGCATGTGACATGATGTTTTGATATACTGTGGTTAAATCAAGCTATTTCACATATGCATTATCTTCCATTTTCTTACTTTTTTATTGAGGTGAAAACACATTGTGCAGATAAGTCATCAGAAATGTTTCACTTTCCATTTGAAAGGAAAGTGGACTGTCTATAGTGGAAATTGCTTTATCTTTTTCCAACTGGAAATTTAAAGTACGATAATTTACAATGATGTGGCACATAACCTAGATCATGGGGGCAGCATAGCTTAGTGCCTTGAATGAGCTTTAGATTCAAACCAATGTGAGTTTTAATATACAAATTCCACCACATACTAAGTTACTATTTGAAAGATTCAGATTCCCTATCTGAAAATAAAAATACCTACATGCTCTTAAGCAGATCAAATGGATAAGATACATGAACAAATAACACCAGATCCTAGCACATAGTGACTGCTCAATAAATGGCAATGATCATGATTACCTTTGATATTACAGTAGTTATGCTATGTAAATCACATTTAAGAACTAAGGGACTCTTAAAAATGGAGCTACAGAGCAAGTGAAGTAATCTTCAATATTTTCAAGCCATGAACTTTGTACTTACTTCACATTAAGACTGATCATTTGGGAATTTTGTGATGCATCAGAGGGTAACATGGAGCATCATCACAATCGCATCACAATGCAGAACCCACTGATGTGTCATGGCATTCTGGAATATGTGCATGGGTAGGAAACCAACCCCATGTAAATGTGGGATTCTGTACATTCAACATTCAGCATGCTAGGCTGAGACCAGGAGGAATAATTTCAAAAAGTTTGAGTAACAACCTTTCTGTATCCTGATAAATCTATGGTCCTTTAATCTACATATAAGGTTAAGGGCAGCCCTAAGAGCAAATGCTCCTAACCACTCATTTTGGTGCCTACTCTATGAATCCTGATATTTCATATGAATAGTGAAATGATTTCACTTTGGCTCTGCTGAAAGATGTGCTATAAAACCAAAAGTATAATTATATTCATATATTGATAATGAATTTTATAGATAGTGCTAAAGTAAGTATTGCATCACAGTTATTTTTATGAGTCAACATGCAAACCTCCAAACCAGAATTAAGTAATCCTCCAATTTATAAGCAACATTCCCTATATTATTAATAAATGTACTAGCTCCATTTAGATGTATATAATGTTCTGCTTTTTATTTTACAATTTATCCATACTGAAGAATATATCAGGCCAGATACGGTGGCTCACATCTGTAATCCCAGCACTTTGGGAGGCCAAGGCAGGTGTATCATCTGAGGTCAGGAGTTTGAGACCAGCCTGGCCAACATAGTGAAACACTGTCTCTACTAAAAATACAAAAAATAGCTGGCTGCAGTGGTGGGCACTTGTAGTTCCAGCTATTTGAGAGGCAGAAGTGCGAGAATTGCTTGAGTGCAGGAGGTGGAGTTTGCAGTGAATGGAAGGGAATCTATTACAATTTAATCTCGCCTAAATTTGGAGGGTTAAAGAATTGTTTTAAGTGGGATAGGGAAACCCAAAGGCTTGTAATTGTAGAAGTTGAAGCTTTCTGGAAGTTGAGGCCTTCATCCGGAAACAAGAAGGAGAGCTAGTAGTGGGTTATCAGTGATGAAAGTGGTGCCGGCATTCATCTAAGATCAGACACATCTGACAGACTAAGGGGCCCTAAAACGGGAGGTCCCCAGGGACCCCACTTGGGGCCCAGAATTCTTCGAGGAGGACACACTGGGTAAAATTTGGGTCTTGTAATACTTCTCCAAGTCCAGACCACTATGATCAACTCTGCATCTACCACACCTGATTCTTCTAAGAGCAACTCTCCATCTATTCTACCTGATTCCCCCCTTGGCTGCATCCTACCCCATTGGTCACTGTCCTGCAATTAGGCCTATTTTGTAAGACGTAGGGCAAATGGTCAGAAATCCCATGTATACAGGCCTTCATGGCCCTATACCGAAACCTAATGGATATTATAGATGACCCCCTTTTACAAGAGCCACCTGTCTCAGGGTAAACAGCGACCACCCCTATATAGCCCCTTTCCACGTGCTCCTGAGGCTAAAACCCAAACCCTTACTAAGTTCCCCTCACACTCAAAGGTGAACACCATGTTTGACTCTCCCTCTAGCCCTTCTACCCCTTAGGGAAGTAGCAGAAGCTGAGGGGCAATTCCTAGTGCAGGCCCCTTCCTGTCACTAATATGCAACAGTGTAAAGAAAAGTCAGGAAGCTATCCAGAGAATCCTAGAAAATTTGCAGATGCATTCATTCTAGCACCACCTTTGAAAAGGAATGAATCTTTGAGGCCACCCACTGGGAAGTGGACAATTTATTCACCAGAAGCCTTCAGGGAAGTCACCTGACCCAGACACAGTCCCCACTACTGATCCTAGTTGGGACTATAACAACTAGGCTAAATTTCTTGAGGCCCTCCTTAAAGGAATGAGAAAGGGAATAAGTAAGGCAGCAAATTATGATAAAGTAAGGGAGTTTACACACAGGAAGGAAGAAAAGCCAGCTATGTTTCATGGAGGAAGCCTTTTAACAATATACTAATCTGGACCCTTCTTTTCCTGAAGGCAAAATATTAATGGCACAACATTTCATTAGCCAGTCTACCCCAGACATTAGTCATAAGCTCCAAAAGCTACAGATGGAGACACAAACTAATCCAAATCAGCTTCTCGATACCACCTTTATGGTGTATAACAATCATGATCTGGAGGTAGGAAAAAGGGAACAGAGTAAAGAAAAACAGCAAGCCAAAATTATGGCAGCCATCAGTGGTGATGCCCTCCCTGAATACTCAAAAAGCATCCAAGGGAAACCCAAAGGGTCATATGGATAATGCCAACAGGGACTCTTGCTTAAGTGCAAGGAACCTAGGCATTGAGCAAAGAACTGTATTAAGCCTCTGCCAAACTCCTGCCAAAAATGTGAGGGTGCCAGTGATTATCCCTGGCGCTGGAGGATTGACTGCCTCCACTCCCACCAAGGGGCTCAGTCAGGCAAAACTCTAGCAGGGAAAAAAGAGGAATCAGATGAAGACTGTAGGGGCCCAGTGTCTTCCTCACCATCCCTGTCCAGGAACACCATAATTAACTACCGAGGAGCCCTAGGTAACTCTGGACATCATGAGCTCCCAAATTCAGTTTCTTTTTGATACAAGGGCAAATTATTCTGTCCTTACTGCTCAAGCAAGAAAACTTCCCTCCCG